GGAAAGGGGATAAACAAAATGTTAAAAATGATTTGAGTTTCATTTTCTGTTTCAGATAGCAAAAAAGAAAATTACTTGAAGACAGAAACAGAAAAAGGCTTGTTTATTTGTATTCTACAACTATRTATTCCCCCACCAGAAGGGGCGCTCACCTGACAGCTCTGCATAATGAAACACTAATTTCTGTAAATAAGAGACTGAAACACAGAGAAATATGTCCATAAATGAGTTGAATGATGACTGTCGCTCTGTGACCAAAGACTTTGCAGAGATAATTCACATGGCTTTTGGCCAAATATGTCTCTTTTACTGAACACGTCAGCTACTGCCTCCACATCACCTCCATTTCTCTCAATAAAAAGCAAAATAAGACAAATTTCATTCCATTTCTGTGTTGTATGGTTGTTGTTCTGTGAACAGAACGTTTTTTTTCCCTCCTGAGTTCTTTAAAACTTTATTTTCAGTCCTCTGACTCCAATCAGGTTCACAGAACAGCACTCAGCACACAGGCCTCAGTCAGACCTTGGGCTGATATCAGGAAAACCCAAACACAGCAGCGCAACTCTGCTCAGAAGCAGAGACTTTAACACCCTGACAACTACTTCTACTATAATAATGAATTCAGCTTATAATGTACATCTCTACCTGGTTACACCCCAGAGGTGTTACCTTTTACATCAGACGTCAGAACGTCACACAGTTTTGTTTAGGCTAAAAGAAAGAACACATGATAACACACCACCTCTTTGTCAGTTTCAACCTTACAGAAAGTATAAAATACAAAACTGAATCTAAAATTCAGTTAATCAGTTAGAAAATTTCTTCATTTCATCTCCACACTTACCTTCTTCAGCTCTCCTGGGCTCATGTTGCTCATATGTAGTTTAGTCCAGTATTTGTCCAGCAGTGCTGCATGGGAGTTCAGAGGTGTATGCCAACTACCACCACTGTGGTARGTCCTACACAACAACAACAAAGATTTACTTATTCCTGTGTGACAACAAACAGGACCAAAGTAAACCAGAGAAATAACTTTTTCTGTCAAAACGCTGTGTGAATTCTCAAGTGCTGATTAAAGCTAAAGCTGAGCTTTAATTAGTTAAAAAAGCATTAGCTGTAGCCAAAGACTAAAATTAGTTAAATTGTATTCAAAAACTAAAGCAAACTAAAGCTAAACTGTAGCTAAAAGCAAAATTTGTAAAACTAGGCGGTAACGAGTCTTGATTATACATTTTTATACGAAACAAGAAAATGTTAAGAAAACAGTAAAAGAATTTAATAATTATTTTGTTAATTTAGGGCCACAGCCACCACAGCTAATTGACCTTAGCCAACACAGAAATGACAAAACCACAGACAGTTACACATTTACTGAGTTAACACATGCTTTAAACATAAATGGATTAGGGTTATAGGAAAATATTGATACATATCGATATTTCATTTCCCGATACTGTATCGATTCTCTAAAGCCCTGTATCGATTTTTAATTAAGGTTTAAAATGTCAACTTTCCTGCCAACAGTTCATTTTAATGTTGTAGTTCAGCCTCTGACCYCTAGTTGGCAGCAGTGAGCCAGCCATGTGGCTCCTCTACTTCTAAGGAGCCAGAGAGTAACAGTAGCATTAGCATAAAGAGTAAACATTAGCTTCATCACTGACAGCTGAATCTGAGCAGAAAAGACCGACACCCTCTGCCTTCTAAGCTGAGGTAAGGTTACCAACAGTTACTTATTAGTCAGAACGTCTGTATTTTAAGCCAGATTAAGTGTCTTGTGCGCTCTTTTTTCCAACGTTACGGAAGGCAGGCAGGCAGGCAGGCATCTGGCGCCACGAGGTTAGGGGGTCCCAGAGGGACGGTGTGCGAAATTCCCCTGTGAATACCACTGTTTCAATTAAAGGAAACTAATTTTCTCACCGCATCTTTGATTAATTTTGTCCAGCTGTAGACTAGGTCTCTGTCCAATCAAGAGCCAGGTATTGTGTTGTCGGTGCTTTTAATCAGTTTTCAATTCAATTAATTCAAGTCTATGGAACAGTCACAAAATGTCACCACAATCACTCTGTCCCTCTAAAATTGTTGAGAAAATCAAATCGTATCGAATCGTATTGTTTGCTGAATATCGTAATATTTATCGTATCGTGAGCAGAATATTGTATATCGTATCGTGAGATAAGTGTATCGCTACAGCCCTAAAACAGATCATGCAGGATCTGGTGATATATAATTTAAGACTGCATGACATTCACAAGGCTGACCAAACCATACAATGCTGTCACTTCTAAACATGACATGATCCTGGTCTGAAACTTAGGTGGTTAAAAGACGGTTTGTGARATGAAATCCTTCAAGAAATTTAAGATCTTACAAAAACATTTTCTGATTTACCTTCTGGTTGCAAAGAACTGAAATCCAGGAGCAACATCAATGCAATCATCCCGTCCTGGAATCACCAACTTTTTATTTTCCATCAAAGGCAGCAGCACAGATATCTGGGGGAAATAAAGTCCAATTGTTATTTGTGGCAATAATGAGCCCATGTTTAAAGCATTTTCATGGGTTAAAGCGAAAATAAATATTTTGACTGAAATATTCTGCTCTAGAAACTTTGTAATGTGTGTGAAGGGCTTACTACTGGGTGGGTTTGGGGGTCCTCCCCTCAGAAAATTTTGAATTTAGTAGATGCAGTTTCCTGCATTCTGGTGTATTTTACAGGCTCCTAAACATACTTTTACCTACATAAAAACACTTGATTAAATAACTAAATTAGAGACAGATTCTTCATTTAATTAGTTGCATCATCTTGTTTTTTAACTCTCTGCTGTAGCCATTATAATGAAATTAATGTGACACAATTGATCACAAACAATGATTTTAGAGAATAATTTTACGTTTACATTGTTTATTCTTGATTTAGTTTTATTTGTAACAGAACATGCCATTGTGCCAAGCAATGATGGCCCTCAACTGCATGTTTAAAACTAAGAACATTAAAAACTTTACTCCGTAAACAGGTATAATATTGATAACCACAAACAGTGAATTTAGGAGGCACATCTTTGCCTGACTTAATGACAGGTCCACTCATAACAAACTGACATGACATCATGCAGCCTTCAGAACATAAACTAACTCTGTGCCAAACAAAACGGTCTTGGCTCGGCTCGGTTCAGTGTTCACGCAGAACGCTCGCATCCTCGCTAGCGATGGAGGTTTTTATATTTGGCGCTTACGTTATTATAGTAAAACAGGACGTGGCAGAACACTTTACTAGTGAAATGTTGCCCCGTGTAAATTACGCGGTGATAGGAGAGCAAAAGCGTGGCGGACAAACAAACTGAATGTCGCGCGCAGCCTTTYCATGAGCAGCTTGGTCACACACGCAAACTTGGACATATCTGTTGGATAACGGCGCTCTGAGCACAAATATTTAATATAAAGTTAAGTTTTAGAGTTTTAGACAAAAGTCCAAGGAGTGAAATGAGGGAGGAGAGGTGTCACTCACTGACTGACCGCTACTGTAGGGGTCACCTCGAGTAAAGAAACAAGATTTACTGCTTCGAAGCAGGCCTCGGACAGGCCTGACGAGAGGACAGGAACTCTGTCACAAACTGAACTCTATTTAGGCCATGACAGGTCATTCCAACCGTGGAAGAGAACCCCTCAGTTCTCTTATTCAGAAAATGGACAGAACAATCTCTTCTGTTCGTGATTCATTTGTTGTTTAACTAAGAATGTTTATGCATTTGTTAAATCATGATAATGACTGTCACAGGAAAAGTGGAGCCACTTCTTTTCTTTTATCGTGCCTTAAAGATTAATAATGGTATAAAAAAATCACAGAGAATCCCATTACAATGTTTTCATTGTGTTTTTATGTAAATCACTGTTTTTATTTTACTGTGAACACAGTAATATAATTGTGGATTTTTCCTGAGAAAATCTTTCATTTATCTGGACTAACAGAAGGTTCAGAACTGATTATAAACAGAAATGTTAATTAATCATCATAAATGTTTTGCAGTGATTTCTCTTAGAGTCTATCAGAAGAAAGCTGAAAAGAGGTTATCATCATGTTGTGAACAACCACAGAATTTTAACCTTGGGCTGGCGCCGGCTGGCAAATCTTTATCTTTCTTTCTCTGACTCATCTCTAAGCCTGAGGGCGGAACCAAAGATCGTCCGTTTCTTTTACTAACCCGGATGGCTTTGAGTGACACACTCTTCTTCCCGATTCCAACCTAGGAAGAAAGCTGGGTTTTCTCTCCGGAGAACCCAGTTTGGCTTTTTAGGTCTTAGCCCATGAGCTAACTAGGGAAGACTTAACAGCCCGGGACTCGGCACACCAACCGGTCTCACCCCGAGGCTTCAAGCCTCTAAAAGTGTGTTTTTAACTCCCGTGGGGAGATTTTATTTTGGAAAGAAGGAACCGGATACGGCTTGAATTTTTCTGGCTTGGACTGAAATAGACGAAAGTTACCTGAACAAACACCTACTCGCCAATGACCGGTAAGCGAGCCGACATTCAGTTCCCTGACTGATCGGAGACGAGCCAGTTTCCTACCCAGAGAGTGCCTTAAGAAGACATCATCAGGTAAAAGCTGATGAGTTCGGAGTGACGTGTCATGTGGAACCTGAGCTTAGAAAAGACATGCAGTTCCAGTTGACCCACACTTTGATAAAAGTAAAAGTAGTAGTAAACATACCAACCTTACTTTCCTCCTTTCCTTGTTCTTAATTTGCCAAAACTTAAGCTAAAAGTGCCAGTAAAATTGTTTGGTTGTTAACATCAGAACTGATGTTTTACTGTTCTATATACGTAATCTGAGTTGATGTGAATTGAAATTCGGACACGGGTTTTATCTCATTTAACTCTGACGCTTGTTATAGGAATACCCACAATCAAGTGTAATTTATGATCTGTTCAATTTGTGTAAATAAATGATTGAATCGTCTTTTATGAATCAACTTGAACTCGTCTGAACGTTCACTTATTGTGTCACTTTTCACTTCGCACAGTCAAGACATTAACAAGTAATGAGAAAATACCTTGGTAAAAGTTTCCTCATAACCTTGTGTATGAGAGATGTGGGAAAAGCTTAATGCCACCTTAAAGAGTAACTTACCCCAAAATTAACTTTTTTTAGCTGATAAACTGTCTAGAATGTGTCTAAAATGTTATATAGTACTGTTCCTGTGCTAATTTTGATGTTTTTGTGCGTATTTGTTCAAATCTGTAATATTTGGTCTAAAAACGTCTTTTTGCTGCTCATATGGGTGGAGCAGTGGTACTGCAGGCTAATTTGCATATTGGTTAACGGCTCTCCGCTGTGACGTGGTTCTGCACAGTTTCGTCACAGCGGCTGTATTCTGGTATATAAAAGTCTCTCTCTAAGACACGCCCCTGCAGCAGTCAGAGGGTGGAAGCTTAGCATGATCGTCTGTTGACCTTCAGCCTCGGGTGGGGAGAGGTGCTGGCTGCTCTCTCTCTCCCGCTCTGTCTCCACACACACACACACACACACACACACACACACACACACACA